AAGTTAATGTTTGCACAATACGTTTGCAATTGACATGTTTGCACTTTAAATATGTTTACGATTTTAATTTATGTTAAGTTACTTGAAAAACGAGAAAAACTGATTTTTGTAATTGTTTCTCTCAGGGCTTTTATAATCTCTGGTGTGAGTTTAAAATATAAGTGTGTTAGCACTGTGCTGATTATCCCTAATATGAATAAATGTTTATTTATTCACTGTTTCTCTCCTTTAATACGCAATTGAAGTTATGCTATTCATGGATAAAAAATCGTGATAAAATATTGGAAAAATCGTGATATTCTATTTTTGCCATATCGCCCAGCCCTATTTCAGATTCTCCTAATCTGCAGATAACTATAAATTAGCTGTGCAGAGTAACTTGTAGCTCATCATGCTCCCACAGTTGTTGGTGTTGGTTTCTTTTTCTTAAACCACAAACCCTCATTGAGTGTAATTGAAGGCTATGTTGTTAAATTGTTTAACCACTCAAACTATTTTATGGTTTGCTCTACAACTTCTCTACAACCATTTGATGGCAGCATTGAGTGCAATATCTCTGCAATGTAGTCTTCGGATTTGGCCATTATGCAAATTATATATGCTGCATAATAATTAATATAACAAAAAACTCTGAAATGGCTCAACTAAAGTTTATTTCAGCAAATGTTTCACATTGCAAGATAATATGTCTGAGTCGAGACGTACCCTTAGTGTCGTTTCAAAGATGTGAGCACATTTTTGTAAAGCGGGCTTCCTATGTTCTTAGTCGGGTGTTTAATCAAATCGAATCAAATCATCTTTATTTATATAGCACTTTTCACACAAAAAAAATGCAACTCAAAGTGCTTCACAGATTAAAATGGCCCCATAGATCCCATATACCCATCCCAGCCCCCCGCCACCAGTATAAAACAATTGACAATTACACTTACCCTCCCGCAACCAATTTCCAAGGTGAACGTACACTCACCCACACACTCGCTCGCTCACGCACGTACGCACGCACGCACGCACGCACGCACACACACACACACACGCACGCACACACACACACACACACACACACACACACACACACACACACACACGCGCGCGCGCGAACAACAGAGTAAACAATAGACTTGAGTTCAGATGGGTCAGGTAATGGACGACACATCATCAGCGGAGCCATCTGCCTCGACAGCAACAGATCCACGGCAGCAGCCAAGACACCGACCCTTGACGCCCAGGCAGGGAGGGCGGAGACCCCCACCACAGAGGGCTCCGAAGAGGCAACACTGGTGGATTAAAATATATAACTGTAAAATAACAAATGCTAATATGGATAGAAAGTAACTGATAAAAAGTGATTATAAAGATGGTAAAAGAAAACAATCATATAAAAACACTAAGATGTAAATAAAATTAAGTAAAAGAGATAAATAGGTATATATATATATATATATATATATATATATATATATATATATATATATATATATATATAAATAAACAAATACGACAAGCGATACAGTTAAACAGACTAGATAAATAGTAATCAGTTAAAAGCTAAGCTAAAAAGGTGGGTCTTGAGCCTATTCTTAAAAGCCTGGACGTTCCCTTTGGCCCTGAGGTCCTCTGGCAGCCCGTTTCAAAGGTGAGGGCCGTAATACTTGAAGGACGCCTCGCCGTGGGTGTGTCTTACTTTAGGGATAACTAGGAGACGGCTGCCAGAGGAGCGCAGAGACTGCAAGGGTTTATATAGTAAAAGCAGTTCTGAAAGATAAGAAGGCCCGAGACCATTAAGACACTTGAAAACCATTAAAAGAACCTTAAAATGGATCCTGAAACATACGGGGAGCCAGTGCAGTGATTCTAAAACCGGAGTGATGTGCTAATAAAACAATAAATGGGTACCGTATTTTCCGGAGTATAAGTCGCACCAGCCATAAAATGTGTAATGAAGAAGAAAAAACATATATAAGTCGCACAGGACTGTAAGCCACATTTTGGGGGGAAATTTTATTATTTCTCTTACAAAATCTGAGACCAAGCATTTCACATTGTAAGACAAGTACCAGTAACAATAACAGAATAAACAGTCAGGGCGCAGCAGCGCACCACAGTCTCCAGCAGAGGATGGCGGTGTTTCAAACCCTCCCAGCGGGCGGGGAGAGCGCCCGCAGCACCCTGCCACAGTATGCAGCAGGTGATGGCGGTGTTTGTAACCCTCCCAGTGAGGCAGAGGAGCTGAAACCTGTGCCGGAGCCAGCCCGCAGCAGTGCAGTATACATAATTTGCTATATAAGTCACTTTGGTATATAAGTCGCAAGACCAGCCAGACTATGAAAAAAAGTGTGACTTGTAGTCCGGAAAATAAGGTAGTTTTAAAGATAACATTGTAAAACTAAGCTGGAGAGGTGATGCTCTTTATCATCAGGCTGCCTATTACTCACTACCATTTATTTCAACAGAACCTGTTTATTTTACTTAGATTTGATAACAAAATTCCCTATAGTTGTTAAATTATACAATAAAATGGCCAACCATAATAAAATCTCACAGTGGCCATTCATTTGTCATCTGTTAAATTATAGAATTGCCTGTCATACATAAATAATACAGTGGCTTTCCATAATCGACTGAATGACAGTGGGCTGAGCAGAAATGCATGAAGTCTTAGATTGTTATTTTATGTTTTAACACGTTTTTTTGTTTATAAACCGTTAGCTATAACTCTATTCGGTGATTTTAGGGTGTTGTGATTTTGTAAAGGGTTTTATTCGTTGCGATATTTTGATAGTGAGAAAGAATTAACAGCACATCATATCTGATTTCACACCGATGTTTGGGTCACAGAGCTAATGTGGGAAACTTATTGTTAAAGTCCCACAGTCGTCATCACACACAGGTGAAATTACATCTCAGCATTTGACCTATTGGTGCAGCGGTGAGCTGTGGCTGTGCTCAGGAACTATTTGGTGCTTTTACCCCCCGATCCAACCCATTAAGGAGGAGTGTCAGCAGGGAGGCACTGGGTCCCATTTTTAAAGTCTTTGGTATGACTCAACTGGGATTTGAACCCCGATCTCCCAGTCCCAGGGCGGACACTCTACCATTAAGCCACTGAAATGGTATTGCGGCTATTCTTCATTATGGACAAAACCTTTTGAGGGTTCTTTGAGGAATCGGTGGAAATCTACAGAACACTGGATTTCCCATGGAAGCTCTTATGGACACCCACATCCATCACCCTCCGATGACCAAGAGTACAGGCAGAATGCACACAGGTGCACATGATAGTGTGTGCTCATACAGAATGAAGCTAACTGTTATCTTCAGAGAAAAGGGGAGATTTACTGTTAGAAAATTGGTATGTTGTAATAATAATAACATAAAAATGTTGCCAAAGTGTTTATACAGGACAACTAATGTTGGCTATCTCTAATGTTGCAGGGTGGAGGCGAAGTTCACTGCACTAAAACATCACAGAGGTAGCAGACATGTAGCTCAGGTGTTCATGTTCTGGTGCTTTTTCCAGTTTGATGGGTTTGGATTTCAGTGCTCTACTTTTCATTTCAGAAGCCTGCAATAAACATGAAGGGTTTGTTATGTATGCCCACGGGTTTAGTTGTCTTTTTGTAAATGTTACCTTTTTTGTCAGCTGCAGGTATTGATGTGTTTACTGGACCAGTGATGGCATCATGTTGATAGATTGTTACAACAGCTTGTTCTTTACTGCGTTATTTCCAATCAAACTTTGGACAGGCTACCTAATGAAAGTGACAGAATGCAGCTGTGCAAACACTTTGTTGGGCCCAGTGTTGCGATTGTGTCTATCTGTATTTGAGGACAACACAATACAAATCCAATACAAGCTTCTCACTGGTGTCCCAGTGAGAAGCTTGTATTGGATTTGAATTACTGCGTAACAAGGTAGAGAATCAAAGGACGATATTGTATAAAAGCATTGCAACACATGCAGTGCTTTCACTATACAAATACCATCGAGTGAAAAACGAAAAGGATGACAGCAGTTTTGTTGTTAAAGAGCAAGTCACCCGCTACCAGAGACTTACTCCACTCCCATTGGATGTTTGAAAAATGCGCCACAAGGAGGCGTTGCCTGGCAGACTGAGAAGGCGGAGTCACTAACACACGCACGAGCGTCTGTCTTTCAATCATAGTGAAGACCATCCATTGACTTCCATTCATTTTTGTGAGTGTATTGTGCCTAACCCATACCCTAACCATAACCAGTGCCGAACCATTCCTAACCCTGACCTTAGCTAAAACTTAAGTGACCGTGTGAATTTTTTCCTGGCGATGGGGGCAGTAGATACCTAGATTGTTGCAATCAAGCAGTATTTTTGTGTTGGAGTAAGACCTTACCAACGGATCCCCATTAGGGTCAAAAAGCCCTGGGGAGTGCAAACTTCAGCAAAATGACAAGCACATCAGACTCCCTTGCATCAGTGGCAATGAATAGAGAGGTAAATGTGTAAAACAACAATGTTTATGAATGGTGACATTTTGTAACCATTTGTTACATATTAGTAATTGAACTGTGTCCTCATGGGCTCCCGTAGAAGAAAACATGGCATCTAATATGGCGTCGCCCAGAGACCTAGACCCGCTCCCATGTATTTTAGAGCTGGTTTTTATGGTTATATATTAAGAAGCCACCAATATTTTTCAACAACTGGGCATCATTTCATTCATTTTCAACAACATTTTGATGGATATTTCCAGAGATAAACGATAATTCACACCATACCTCTAAAACCAACTGGTAAGCTTTTAAAAAAAGTGAGGACCAGAAAAATGTCCTCACATTTTAGTGAAAATGGTACCAAAGTACCAGAACACACACACACACACACACACACACACACACACACACACACACACACACAGATCATTTTCCTTTTTTTAATTTGTATTCAGAAACATCCCAGTTATACAAGAACTGAATCACGTTTCCATGGAACTGAAGAGTGCATTGCTGACTCTCTTTACAGATGGAAGAGGGCAGTCGCAGCGTGCGCCTTGGCACGCTTATTGCCCTCATGGTGGAGGAAGGGCAGGACTGGAAGCAGGTTGAGATCCCCTCTCCAGATGCTGCACTTCCATCTGCAGCACCACCTACTACACCTTCAGGCCTTGCCTCTGTGGGGCCTCCAGCCGCTCTCCCTTCAAGTCCTCCTCCTATTTCAGGATCGTAAGTGTCACTTATTGGGTGTTTACACCAAACCACTTATTGGGTGTTTACACCAAACCTGTCTAATTGCTTGAGTTTACAATGGATTTAATCAGAAAAGGTCCTAAATAAACACCTGAATTCTCAGATCACAGCCTCTGGGTGGCAGTGGTTGTGAACATAGATTATTTTAACTTTGACAGGTTAGAAACAAGATGGCTGCATTTACAAGACTTGACAATGAACAAATAATGTGTTTGGAATCTCATTTTATTCACTGTGTAACAATGCTGTGTATGGTCCACCAAATATCCCAGTGAATAATTCTGTTTCAATTCAATTCAGTTTATTCATATTGTACCAAATTACAAGAGTCATCTCAAAGTAAGTACTCCAATTCAGTTCTGTTCATTACGCCAATTGGTTAAAGAATTCCTATGTAAGGAAACCCATTCTACTGCATGGATTGTAGTGACAGAGGAGAGGAAAACTCTCCTTTAACAGGAAGAAACCTCCAACAGAGTCTAGTTCAGTATGAGCAGCCCTTCACCCTGACTCACTGAGTCAGTGGTTCTACAGTTGAACTGTAATTAAAGACTTGTGTTTTTAAATTTCAAAATCAATGGAAAGATCATCAAAAATATTTAGAGCTACTGCATTTGTTTGTTTTTTTACTGCTAAACTGTGTAACACCCCAACTTCTTTTTCTTTGTCAGGCTGCGTCTGAGTCCAGCCGCTAGACACATTCTGGATACCCACGGTGTTGACCCCAGACTGGCCACGCCCACTGGACCAAGGGGACTTATCACCAAAGAGTAAGTGTTTTAATGATTTAACAAAAAAAACAAAAAACATGCTTGTTAGGAAGTGAGTTTTATACAAGGTTTCCTAATATGTGCTTGTTTTTTTTTTCTTGTTTTTTTTTTTTTTACTAAAATAATGTTTAGAATATGTGGTGGAAGTGGCTAGCTTAAAGAGCAAGTCACCCCCAAATAAACTTTTTTTGCTGATAAACTAAATAAACGAGTGTCTAATTGTGCTGCAGACCCGTGTCGTCAATAATTTGGCACTTCAGTGCATCTTAGTTCAAATTTAAATATTCTGGCTAAAACTGGCAGTGTTGTGCCATTGTCAGGTAAAAACTCTGCACTGTATTCTAATTTAAATCTGCCACTGCTATTGGCTAAGAGGTATGCTATGATGTAAACTGGTACATTATGATGTCACAATGCTGTCGTGAGCCTGTGTGCGTGTGTGTGTGTATTTGTTAGCAGCTCCGCCCTCTCGGTCTGCCAGGCAACAGCATGTGTTGCATTTTTCAAACATGAAGTGGGAGTGGAGTTAGACTCTGGTAGGGGTTGACTTGCTCTTTAAGTGAGTCCTCTCATATCTGTTATTTCATAAGTGATTTAAAAGTGAACTAGCAACAAACGAGCTAGCTTCTAAATCTGACGTACCAAGTTTCTTGAAAACTGATTGTAATTTGTGTGCCCTCTCTGGACTTTTACATGACCATCACATACTTAAAAACTCACTTAAACCAGACCATGCTGACTTAGAAAAACATTTTATGGTTGCAGGTTTTGTTTTATGCCATTTTTGGCATTTGTTGCCATAGGAGGTGATGCGTACGGTATTTGCTTAATAAAATAAATGATCATTTCTTGCTATCGATTCTTATAATAGGCCATCACAACAGTTCAACTAGTCCTCAACTAGCTAAAAGGTCAGTGTGGCCCAAAAACTGGGAAGTGCTGCAAATGGAAAGTTTTTTTTTACCCCGTTATGAAATCCTCTAGCAGAAAGCTGCAAACACGCACAACTCTAATAAGAACCTGCTGTCACTCTGGGACTGATTGAATGTTCTTGTTACTCACCCAAACAGCCTGCTGGGGAATCTCATTAAGGAACTTCTGTTGCCATAGCAACCCAGTCTCCAGGACCCACTGGTGACCATGGAAACAAAGACCATATGCTCTTTAGTATTTGTGTTGGGAAAGGATGTGTAGGGGAATAATGTCACACACAGTATCTGAAACCGTTTTTGTTTTTGCATTCCTCATGACAATGCTGTGTGTTAAGTCCACTATCCATCAGCTGACACAAACAGAGCTAAGATGGGGAACTATTGGGCCCTACATGTGAAGTTAATATTTTATGCCCTTTTAACTATTCTTTTTTAATATAATCTTATCATTGATTTTCACAAAATGCATGAAGAATATATAAAATGTCTACTTTTTTTCAGAAAACTGGTCATTTAGCATGTTCAAGCAGTTAGAGGCCCTGTTTTTTTTCCCTACCCCTAAATGCTAAAAACACGAAACATTTACTTACAGTGAAGTAGAAGCAAGTCTGAGTGATATTATACATTTTTATCATCTTGGCTTGTTCTTGGTGCCATTGGAAGAAAAGACAAAGTGTGTGTCTTCACACAACAGCAATTCTTTTGTAGATTTTGTGCATATGAGCGATGCCTCGGCCCCTTTTTAATATTCCAGTCACCCTCTCCTGCTCTTTCAGAAGCTCCTTTGCCTTGGCTGTCAGTAGGGGAGCGAGTGAACCAGCTGCGCAAAAGAGATCAGTGTCTGCTTGCTTACATCAATTTCACAACACAAATGTGTGTGTTTGCCATTTTAGTTCAGATCTATTCCTGATTTAGTAGAAATCGTTGTATCTCATTGGACACTGCCTGGTTATTAGGGGATTTTCAAGTTGGCTCTGTGTGTTCACAAACAAATATCAGGATCTGTGAAGGAAAGGAGGAGCTTGTGTGCTTGGAGAGAATAAAAACGGAGCTTAAACAAGGACGTGGAGAACTAAAACGTTGGCCTCAGACTGTTCATAGCTGCAGGGTAAGATCAGAGGCAGCTGGTCCGAACAAAAGAATGGATGCATATGGGTAGGTGGACCGCCGTGCACTGAACTGGAACCACAGAGATTCAAGCACCTGATACTTGTCCTGCCCAGCTCTAATGTTAGTCAAACATTAATAGATGTAACAGTACATCAGTGGCAGGCATGTTGTGGATTAAAAATGTTTATTCCTCTCAAATTTTAAAGAAACAATCCTATTTTTAACACCTGTGGAGAAACATTTGAAGTAAGAAACTTTTAAGTTGTCAAAAATAACACGTTTAACACTTATTGAAGCATCTTAATGGTTTGGTAGGTGTCTACAGGTTGCAGGGACACTAAAGCCAATGTTTTGAATGAACTAGTCCCCTGATGCTGCAGACACCTGATCCTGCTGCACCTGTTGGTGTGGTTGTGAGCCCAGCATGATTCTCAGGACACTCCACTTGCAGATAACCTGAAGTTGCCTTTCTGCACGCATGATGCAAACAGCCTGCTTTCTTCAAGCCCTTGGGGAGCAGGTGATTTAGTTCAGATGGTAATAACCAGGGGAGTTTATTTAAAACGGTGATAGCTAAATAAATGAGGACACTCAATAAAAATTGTTTAATTAGCTTTTCTTGTAAAACAACCTTTTAAAATGAGCAAACTGTATTCCTTCTGAGTGCCTCGTGCGTTTTGTTTTATCAGAGATGCCCTGAATCTTTTAAAGAAGTCCCCTGCCCCCAAAGCAACACCAGCCACAGTCGCACCAGCAGGCCCAGTTCCTGCCACACGTGCTGCCCTCACACCAGCAGCTCCTCCTCCTGCACCTCCGAGCAGCAGACCCAGCATACCTCCTGTCTCTGTGCCAGGAAAACCTGGAGCACCAGTGAGCAAAGTCAACCTTTATATCAACCATTTACTGTGCAAAACATTTTTATAATAACAGAATGTTTTTCACTAATTAAAGCCTCACTTTTCTTTGTTGTCACTTTCAAAATGTTCTCATTCAATTATTCATCTCTAAATTTCTTGATTCAACCTCCTCAGGGAACTTTCACTGAGATTCCTGCTTCAAATGTTCGCCGAGTGATCGCCCAAAGACTGACCCAATCAAAGACTACCATCCCACATTCATACGCTTCTATTGACTGTGACTTGGCCTCAGTTATGCAGCTCCGCAAGGATCTCGCCAAAGGTAACAAGGCCCACATGAAAACATGCATGTGTACATTTCTTCTCATCCATGTTACCTTAGATGTATCAGTGTTGATTTTATCTACGAAATATAAAAAATGTTTCATGTCGAATTCATTTTTGCGGACCAAAATTAAACGAAAACATATACGCCAATCGTGTATATCCGTTCTGAATGTCAGCCGCCTTTGTCTTCGGGGCGGCTCTGACGAAGGCGGAAGTTCCAGCCGATTCATGTCAGCCGAAGGTAAAGTAACATCTAATTACTTTACTGTGTTAAATAACAAAAAAGAAGATAATTATGACGAATTATTAAACATAACGATTAATTAAAACTGAGTCAGAAAACGGAGAAGATGGGAGACCGGAAAAAAGAGCCAATCAGCAACAGGTGGGACTAGACGAGAAAATAACCAGAGTCTGGAGTCGGCCGCTGTTTGAACACGCTGCCGCTAACCAGACGTCATCTACTGATGTTTATGCCAGTACAAGTCAAGTCTGAAGGGAGAAAATATCTGCAGCTGGGAGTAAAAGCAGCAGATGTGACCACCTGAAAAGTATTTGCTTGGTGAGTACACATCCGGGTTTCCCTTGGTCATTAAAGTGTTATGGTGTTAGCAGCAAGCGGGGGGGGGGGGAGGGGGGGGTTGCTGTAGCTCAGCAAACCGAACTGAGCTGACGGATCAGCGCGACGTGCATCTTGTCATTTTTAATTTTTTTGTGGCGCTGCTTCGGCAGTTATGATCAGCGTTCTAGCGGTGCTTTTGTGAGGAGAAACGTTCAGGTGTCCCGCCCTGATCAATCAGTCTAATGAACACTCCAGTAAATACACACGAAAACAATTCTTACCTTTAGTTTACCTCCACACTATCGCTACTTTTTCAAGTTTTGTTGGTATGTATTTTCCTGTCGTGTTTACAAATATTACTGCACATCAAACTGATTTGTTTATTTTTTTCATTTTGAGAGACACAGTTTCAAACTGTTGGTGTTCATTTTGGTATTTTCCAATAATTATTGTTATAGAAACAATTACAGATATATATTTTTATTGATCTAAAGTGTGAAATGTGAATTTTTTAATATTTCTTTACAGTTTCAAATAGTGTAGATAACATTTCCTTTACACAAGTTGAAAATTATTGCATCAAAAGAAAATTTTACATATTTTAGTCGACTAAATTAAAGCTGAAACTAAAACTAATGGGGTGACGAAATCGTGACTAAAGTTTAAAATCATTTTAGTCAAAAGACTGAAACTAAATTAAAATTTCTTCTCTAAATTAACTCATTGCATTAATTCACTGCCAGCCTTTTCCTGATCGGTAAAGCCCTTCACTGCCAGCAAATGTATAACCATTTGTGCTTTTTTTTTAAGAGTCTCAGAACGTTGTGCGCTAGGATGATGTCGACTTCAAAACAACCAAAACAAAGCGGAGACTCACCTCTTATATCAGGAAGAATCTGCGCATTTCGAGCTTTATCCGTTGTTTCATAATCCGTTGTTGAATTGTGATCGGCAGAAGCTTTTCCTGTTTGCGCCTCACTTTTTCTACAGCAGCAGCCCAAAACGATCTCCTAACACAGTGGTTCCTAACCTGGGGGTCCCGACCCCCACAAGGGGGCGCCAAAGCCTCTCAGTGGGTCGCCTGGACCTCTCCACTTTAAGGGGTTAAAACTTCATTTATTACTTGTTTATAGCCTACATTGTGCTCACTTTTTTTTTCATGAGTGAAAAGTTTACTGATATTGAGACAGGAAATAATTAGTACAGAAAAAGTAACACACTTTTAAGAACATTTTGCTCAGCTCACTGTTTTATTTTCAAGTGCCAAAAGTTCATTAAAGATCGGACTGGTTGATTAATCACAGCCTTTACAGTAAATAATCTAGTATAAACAGTAATATACACATTTAAGTACATTTTGCTCAGTGTATTTTTTGTGTCAAACGTTTATTGATATGAATGATTGATTTATCAGTGTTTACAAGAAACACTGTGTTCAGAAAAGTAATACAAACTGTTAAGCACATTATGCTCTGTTCGGTTTTGTTAATGACTTTGTTCCGTACTGGAGCCTACTATTACTGTTATCTATTAAATCAAAGCATATTAAAATGTGCTTGAACAATTTTATCATTTCTTAATAATGTTTGTACTGGAAGAGCGAATGGGAGGGGGTCGTCAAAAATTTTACTGGTAAAAAACGGGGTCCCTTGGGAAAAAGGTTGGGAACCACTGACCTAACACATGGATTTTCTGCTTCCTGATCACGTGACGTATGCGGATGAAGATCGGCTTTAGAGCCGAGATGTTTGTTGTCACGGTGCGGGGGCTCTTTCCGACGCCCACACGGTAAAAAAATGCAAATGACGACTTTAGTCTTTAGACTTTAGTCGTCAATGGCAGTGAATGAGTTAACACTGTGCTTAATGTGTCTTGGTAATAATTATCAGCATTTCCATTTATAAACACCAAAAGTTATTTCCCTCTGGCTCAAAGCGACACGCTTTCATCAGACCCGATGGCGTGCTTGTTTTCTGACAGAGTTCCACACAAAGATGGAATGTCACCACATAACCATCTCATCAGAGTTATCTGGGGCACCAACAAAGGCAAACACGCTGACAAACAACTGAATTACCACTGACCGGGTCTGGATCCAAAGGGAAACTGTTGCAAGTTACTCGTTATGCTTTGAACAAACTTCCTGTGAAGATTTGCAATTTTTCCACTTTTCAAAAGACTTTTAACTGCCTGAAGTTTCATCTTGAACGTGGATTGAAAGGAATTTTTGGATAATTTCACTCCTTTTTTAGGTAGAGGTGGTTATTTGAAAGAAAAATATTTAGTTGTTTATGTTAAGTTAGGTTTGCTTTGCTAGACCAAACAGAAACCACTTTAAAGTTCAGGGGTGACATCGCATTTGCTGCCTAGAATCATGTGTTCTCCCTTGAAGACGATTTAGAATCATTAAAGTCAGACAAACATTTGTGCTTTTTAGTGCCTTCATGTAGAAATGAATGTCTTTGTGCTGACTGGTTGGTCGGCTGTAACGGGAAAGCAGTGCACAGTAATTTCTATAAACCATTAATTCAGTCAGTGATCAAGTCAGCAGCCCTTAAACACATTTCTGAAAATCCTACATTTATGTAACCTGGCAGCAGCCAGATCTCCACGTGTAGCCCCGCCCCGTGTTGAGCCTACTCATTTCGATCTGGATCCTCTGCAGCAGAAACTGTCTGATAGAGGGAGGGCTGTCTGGTATAATATTTTGAGCTGATTGGAGGATGTGCAAGGTAGTGCCCGGCTGGCACTGGCAATTTGTCTTTAGCCAATCACAGTAACAACTCAAATGACGTTTACCACGTGTGCCTGGAAAACAACAACTCGCTCAAGCTTCATTCACTCACACGGCAATTACCATGTCTTCGGGCGATTTCTGCCAGTTTTGCTAGAAGAATAAGCGCATAAAGGGCCCCAGCGCTTTATAATCATGGCGCGCCGCCAGGCTTTGCATGGTCATCTGCTAGGCTAAGCATGGTCCCCACCCCTCCTCCCCAGCCCTACCTTCTCCGCTGACTTGGACGGCGCACGGCAGCGAAGCGCGGGCCTCCCTTCCGCTGATACTGATGAGAAACGGCAGCGGAGCACAGCAAAAACTCTTGATTTCCCCGCCAATAACGTGTTTGCCAACCCAGAGTGCCCCTCCCCCAATCCCCCGTTCTCACGGACAAGAAACGGTGGCGAGTGCTCTTGTTTAGCCGGGCGCTTAATACCATCGTCAAAACTAACTCCCACCCTACAGCACAGTACTGACACACGATTGGATCGGCCTATTTTGGCCCAGAGTTTGGATGGTTTGAACTGGAGCGATACTAGATGGAAACTCCAAAGCTCACGATAATTCATCTTGCAGCGCAAGGTTAACATTTATGACATTTATAACAACTCTGAGTCAAAAGCTGATGTATAAACTACTTAACGTGTACATCTTGAAGGCAAATTGTCTCTTTGCGATGTTTATGTTAGAACTCTATATGGAGAAAAAAAATTGTTGTTTCAAAAAGAATTTTTAAAAATATTTTCTAACGTCAAACCTTCACTATTAAAGGACTTAAAGGAATATGAAATCTGGCATTTCCTGCTAAATTTAGGGTTCATGAAATTTCCTGGTAGATTTGCTGCTGATGAGGGTGTTCATGGGCGCGTTGGAGAGAACTGAACAAATGTTCATTAAATGAAAGCACTCAGCCAAACGAACTGGGTTTGTCTGGTTTTGTTCTGACTACACTTTACAGATGGAGAAATTAGTTATTTCTAACAACAGTTGGGTGACAAAATGCCAGTTTCACAACATATATCAGGATGTGTGTGTTGAAAGTGAAGGAGGGTAAAACCAGAACTAGAAAACGGGAACACTGTCAGCATTTTCCTTCACCAAGTCTAATTATTTTTGACTTGGGTGCTATAGCAGCAGAATAGTGTGGACAGCTCCCTATTTTTAAACATTTAGTTTAACTCATAATTGGCTTTATTTGGCCTGCGGTTGCCTCTGTGTCAAACAAACCGTAAATCTCTGGGTTGTGTGTCTGTGACGGAGGGAACAGGACGGTCATTCCAGACCTATTACCGAGGCTGTGTGTGTGTACTGACGGATTCTCTTGTCCGGTTGTTTTTGTGGCTCCTCATTGTTCAGGAGCAGAGCAATTTCACGGTTAGTTCATTAATCATCCTGCTCACAGCGCTCATAACTGTCTGCTAGTGCCATGTTGGTCACTGGTAAAAGGTGGCAGGCAGTTGCTGAAACGGAGCACATTCTAGTGCCCGAGTCTTATGAAAGCTTATTTATGATCTTTAAATAAATAAAAATGTAAGTATTTTATTTTTTAATCAGTACTTTGTCATGAGGCTTTGCCCACTAAAACAGTGTCCATGGCCTGTCCTGTAGTTTTTTTCCCCACCTTCCTTTGGCCATCTCTTTCTCTTAGACAATAAAAATGTGTCTAATTTTTTAACAAATTTTATTTTTTCAGAACTACTTCCTCCTTCCTTTATCATTAAAATAAGCTCAACTGAACATATTTATTCATCTCAGAGCTTAAATCAGGCTTACAGGTTATTTCTTCTTTATTTCCAGATCAGGTCAAAGTGTCTGTTAATGATTTCATCATCAAAGCAGCTGCTGTTACACTTAAAGTAAGTAAATCTACCGTTTTCTATTTCTTTGATTGGTCGGCTCTGGTCAAGCGTGTATTGTACTCGTCATTAAATATCTGATGACATTCAGTAAGCTTAAACAACTTCCATCAAACTGGCTGATTCTTACCTAAATGATCAAAAATGAACAAATCAACCATAGTATTATACATTTTTTTCCCAGTTTAGTAAGTTTTCTGCATGAACTCCCTCAAAAGATGATCAGTCAGGTCATTGAAAGGAACATCAGAGGTGTCCAGAAACGTCTGTTACAGTTAGTAACTGGCCTTTTATGAGCTGTGATTTCTGGATTAAACGTCATACCCAAATATTCCATCCGATTTTTATCAGATTGGTGTCTTGAGAGTTTGGAGGCTTGGTGAAAACTGCAGAACCGTCATTTGCTTGAACCCTCTCTAAGCACATTTTTCTTCACTATCAAACGATCTCACATGTTTCACTTGTTTTGTTACGCTTTTACCTAGGAATTGCCAGAAGTGAATGTGACCTGGTCTGATGATCGACCCCATGCACTTGACTCAATTCACATCTCTGTTGCCGTGGCAACCGACAGAGGCCTCATCACTCCCATCATCAGGGATGCTGCCAACAAAGGAGTGCAGGAGATCTCGGCCAATGCTAAGGTACAGAAGGGAAACATAGTCTTATATACTAGTACTTATAGTTTTGGGTTCTGTGTGGAACTTTTTTTTATACAGTGTAACTGTGCAAACTGGACATTAAAGATGTTTCCATTTTTTTTAATCATTGCCTGGAGATTCATATTTTCTTAGAACATAAATCTGTTCATTGTATTTTAAGACACATTAATATACAGTGTAATAGTCATTTGGTAAAGTCGTCATGATGGAAGAATCCAATACTTTATTAATGTGTCTGCAGATTGATACAAATATATGAAGGGTGTGCTTCACAGATCTTTTTGGTTTTCCTGGGTTTAGGAACATGGCTCATTTATACTTTGGTGCACCAGAGTTCTGTGCAAATCCCCCTTTTTTTGTTACTTTAGTGCTCGTAACCAGTCTGTCAAGCTCTGTCTCTCAGTCTGCAGAAAAAAAAGCAAGCATTCATGGAAGCTGGCTGAAGTAATGTGTTTTTCTCACCAGATGTCTCACCCTCCCCTCTGGGTGTTGTCAATTCCCTTTCTTCATTTTAGCGGTGCACAGTCTGATCGTTTCCAGTAATATAAGCATTTGCTATTGGACATTTATTCGTTTTTTTCAGCATGCTTTTGGAAAACCCATCCCTGTGGCCCAGAGGTTCTGAATTTTAAACAATGTCTTTGTACTCTTTAAACAATTAAATTTGCCTGTATTTGTGTCACAACAGCCATCTGGTGAATGTCTATATTTAGCTATGAATTATTATTGATGTGGTTATTAGCTAAAGGCAACATTGTGCCTTCAAGTGCTATAGTCTTAATTTCCTTGCTTATTTTTTTTTCATAGCAAATAATATAAAACATATGTATTTAATGAGATTTGCACTGAATAGTCAGCAATCAGTGCTGAACTAAATTGGCTTAATGTCCTCTAAAAAGCATTTAGATGTAAATGTCACCTTCGTTCTAACTTATATGTTTATGATCTGTATCTGGTTCCTGAACTCTGTCCCCAGGCTCTGGCCCAGAAGGCTCGAGATGGTAAACTTCTTCCTGAAGAGTACCAGGGAGGCACATTCAGGTAAGTTTGATGCACCTTTTTAAAGATCATTAAAAGTAGGGATGTCCCGATCCGATCACATGATCGGAAATCGGCCCCGATCACGTGGTTTCAGACTGATCGGGACTCGGGCTTTACTTCCCGATCCAAGCCCCGATCCACAGTGGATACTGGGTTCAAATTACAGGAGAGCAACTTGGTTCTCCTTAAAGGTTGTCAGGCTCCCCTGATGCCCTTAACTTACACACCCAGAAGGAGCACAAAAGAGATCCAGTTTCTACTTTATTATGTTACTTACATGGACTCAGAGATGCAGAGAGCGGCAGGAAGACCGCTGATTATTCATGAACTCCAGCTGAGTTCTGCACACGACCACAGTAACATTTTCTAAGTTTCTAAGTGGCGTCACCAAAAAAGTATATAATTAGCACACAGTCGTTCGTGTCCGTTCATTTTCTCTCTGGTAAGTTCTGTCTGTATTTGAGCATGATGTGTGGACGCGCTCGCGCTGCAGCGCTCGTCACTGGCGCAGCCGGGCAGCGTGACCCACACTCCGCTTTTTTTGCAGTCAATAGATCAATTTGATCTGCTAGTTAAAAAGTCACTTGTGAGGTGAAAAAGAAGGAAGCAGGCAGGAGTTTGTTCTGGAGGACTGGGAGATGCAGGAAGATCAGAGACAGACAGGGCAGGAAGATGGGAAAATAAAAACCAATAAAACAAAACAAAGTTCTTAAAAAAATAAAATGTAGGTAGATTTATCCCACTACGCGTTTGTACCTGTATAAAGCAATAATTTATCAGCATGTAGTATTTATGTAGATGATACGATTCAGATCATCTTCAGAACTCCGTCCCATGCCCAGGGGCGTATCTAAGCATTTTGGGGGCCGAGGCAAAATAGACCCCTGCCAGGTATTTTAAGTTGAAGTGCGATCTGTTTTTATATTAGACTTTTTATATTTGCAATAAAGTCCAAAAGTGAAGAATTTATGTTGTTTATTGATTGTTCAAGCTACCTCACAGAAGTGATATGTTGTTAAAAATTAAAATTAAATGGTAATTAAATAAAAAAATAAGGAACATTCTGGAACTGTTTCTTCCTTTTCTTCTTATTTTTTTAGGCATCAAAAGTATCGGATCGGGACTCGGTATCGGCAGATTCTCAAAATCAAATGACTCTGACTCGAGGGCAAAAAAACCTGATCGGGACATCCCTAATCAAAAGTGTTAAAAGTTAAGAAATTGTCAAACCTTTCAAAGTTTTTTTATATTCTCTTTGAAAATGAACCCCAACACTCACTCTTTTAAATGTCCCTGTCCAACTTCATTGACATCATAAAACTAATAAATAGCCATCATAAATTTAATCTCATATGACCTCATTCCAGTCGCTATCACGGTCCTGTTGCTGTATGTACAACTCACATTTTCTTTTGACTTGAACTTAACGTGGTGTTGGGCAGCACGGACTATTAGCTACTGTGAGATCTAACGCAAAAATTGAAATGGGGACTTTTATTTTGTAACAAAAAGAATCTCATTAGAAATAATGGTGTCATTTACACACAAATGGGTTTTTGTGTCATGTGGGATCGGTGATTCTCTACAGAGACGCAGTCCTCTTTGTTCTGCTGAGGAGAGATGTGCCTCTCTGCTGTTCGTTTAATTTTTTCTTCTGGGCAAAAGAGCTCATTAATGCAAACAGCAGAATGCCCTCTGGTCAGATTTACTGAATGTAGAAGTCTAAAGGGTCTTAAACTTGACTGCTACTTATATAAAAAAATAAATAAACTACTTTTTATATCATTACAGTCGAGTTTAGTTCATCCAGTTTTACTTTACAGACAATCTAACAAATGCATCATCTCTTTCCCGACAGCATATCAAATCTTGGGATGTTTGGAATCAGCGGCTTCAGCGCCGTGATCAATCCCCCTCAAGCGTGCATCCTCGCCGTCGGGACCTCCAGGACCGAGCTGCGGCTAAATGAAGATGACCAGACGCTGCACACCCAGCAGCTGATGACAGTTACATTGTCCAGCGACGGGCGGCTAGTGGATGATGAATTAGCCTCGCGCTTTCTTGATAAATTCCGTGCCAACCTGGAACAACCACAACGCATGGCCCTTGCCTGAATAAGAGCGATGGCAATTGTGATAGGAAGTGGAAAGATAAAGTTAGGTCTAAACATGTTTTCACAGGCAAAGAGCTCCTAAAAGAGCTGTGTTTGTGACTGATTCTCACCATGTTTTAATGGAGGTGGAATAAATCTCTGCTGGAGTATTAGAGGATTCTGGATGTTAAATATGTCCCAAATACCATAGAACCAGTGTTTATCTGCCACACTAGAATGATCAATACAACCTGCTTCATCTGTTTGTATTTTAAATCCTGTTATAACAAACGAGTTGGCATCCATAATGTATATCTGTCAATTATTTATTTCTGAACATCTGTGGCAAAATAAGCCACATTAATTTGAACCATTTGTGTTTTTATTTAAACGGTCATCGACTCTGTCCTTAAAACCCATATTTAAATAAATCAATTGTATATTTTGTTGTCAAAGGCCAATAAAACACTGTTCATCTATATCAGATTTTCATTTGTTTCACTAAGAGCTGCTTTTTTAAAACAAAGTAGCACAACTGATAATATGGTGCTTTTGTCCATTTTTCTTTCATTGGAGCCTGAACACATTAAATAATCACACGGAGGCCAATTAGGATAATTTGCTTGGCTGAATGGACAGGTCAGACTCTGCTGGCAGATGTTTATTGTTGCTGTAAGTACAATCAGAGCAGCTGTTGGTTAATATGTGCATCGCCACCGGTCTGGCAGAACATGTTCTAGACATGCACAAGAAAATTAAGCTATTCTTTCATTTGAAGAGATTAGAGGGAGACATTAAAAAATGTTCAAAAATAAGATTTGGGGTCTTTTCTAGGGAGAAATGGAAGATTTTTTTTATCCTTCCCATTTTCATTCAAATTTGTATGGTATTAAGTGTATATATTTTTTCTGTTGAATTAAATAATTTAAAAATTGTGCATGTATAGATTTTAAAGGGTACAGTCATAGTTTTGGTAAAAATATATATTTTTTACATATTTAACAACTTGGTAGCTTTTCAACATTTAAATTCATAACCTGAGTGGAATCTGGTACCAGAGCAGCTATTGTTATTAGAAATCATTATTTATAGGGCAATAATGGTAAAAAGATAGCTCCCTGAAACTAAGTAACTATTCTTTCCAATTTGTTCTGCTTTTTCTGCAAGTTTTGCCACATTTAACCACTTTCCAGGGTCTGTGGAGGAAGAACGTTTTTTGCTGTGGTTGCTGCGGAGTCTGACTCAGTTTCGGTGTCGATGCAGACGTTGACACAGGCAAGGGTAAATAAGGGGAGATGGCATTAACTGCCAGAGACCAGCTATTTCCTACAATATGTATACTGGTATGTTATCCACACTGGTACTTAACTAGGAAAATAGATCCGCTCCAATAAAAAGGAAGATAATTCAAAAACAATACCCTAAATGATAGATTTCCTTACATATCTGATTTTTAAAAATCAGCCATGTGTGTTTAAAGGGGAAAAGGCATGTCAGATTCTAAGTCATATTAACCCACTAGGGGTCACATCACCTTCTCAGCATCAGTCAAACTAATCTCTCCATCTCCATGTATCTTCTTCTCGAGCCTGCTCATCATCCATCTTCTGTAGTTTTTTCATCTTGGTGCACCATCTGCTGGAAGGAGATGGGTTGCTTTTCACAGATAAACTTAGAATCAAATCTGAGGCAGACATTTAAGCATCTCTTTGAGATGGTGAAACTGATGTACGTGCTGCCATCAAAGCACATAAAATGGCAGGAAGCGAACACAATGAGCACCTGTAGGTCCCCTCCCCCAGATCAGATGTTACAAAACAGTAACGAGACGCAACCGTGTCTCACATTTTCAATACCATCTAGGTTAATTGGATGTCTGTGTTTGTTCTGCAAGTGGGTTTGTGTACTCCAAAATACTTTGCTCATTAAATCATGTTTCCTTATTTCTGCTATAGCACATTCACTATCAGTGTGACAACAATTGGAGCTTAGATGAAGCATCTGAACAATGTTCTTCCAAATATCAGCTCTGCCAGTACAGCAGAATGGATGTTGACATTTCCTTGGCTTTCCTGCCACACTGTGACCTTTTCTTCTCTGATGGCCGCCTGCCAATCTCTGCCCAGCAATCCCTGTTATATGTAACAGCTGGATAAGATGGCTGACTGGTGAAAGGGATCAGATTTGTTCCTGCCAAGGTTTGGGTGAACACTGTGCGGGGTAATGAAGATAATGCTGGGGCTCGGGCAGCAGGCGTTCAGGTCAGGCTCATGGAGAATGGTGGGTAGAGATGGAGGCTGTTGCTATGGAAACCAAATAGGAGGAATGTGCGGCTCTGCCGTTACTGTCCTTGTGTGTTGGTCAAATAGCTGAAGTGGCAGAAATTCCTGAATTCCCTGTTTTTGGGATTCTGTCTGCAAATCTGCCGAGAGACTGAGCGTGTGTAGCTAAAAACCAACAAGGACATTTGTAGTACATGGCAATTCCATGCCTTGTCTTACTTTTTGTTTGAACCAAAATACCAGGATTAATCCAGATAGGTGTGCGTCTGCATGGTATTAGTGAAGACTGTCATTTTTAGATACTCTCACCATGCTGTCAGAGAGGTGCTGATACTAATACTTTTGAAGCATTCATGTTTTCTTATGCTTGAGCTAATAAATGGTAAATCTGAAAGCTCTTATCGTATTGCAAAGTGTCTGTTCTATGTCTAACCAGGACTCATCTAGTGGGTTATCTTGCAACCATATTGGTATATATTGCAGCCTGTTGGCTAAGAAATAATAATTAAAGTTAGGTAGATCCAATCCTCCTTTGTCTTTGGTCTTCTGAAGCATTTTTAAGCCAATTCGTGGAGGTTTATCCAGCCAAAGGAATTTGGTAATTGAGGAGTCCAGAGATCTAAACCAGTCAGCTGGTGGTTTGTTTGGGATAATTGAAAATTAGTAATTTATTCTGGGTAAGACCATCATTTTAATCGTAGCAACCCTCCCCGTGAGTGATATCGGTAAGGATTTCCATCTTGCAAGATCATCTTCCACTTTCTTTAAAAGTGGGATGTAGTTTAGTTTGGTTAGATCTGCTAACTTGGTAGAGACATTAATTCCCAGGTATGTGATATTCCCTGACTCCAATTGTGTATTAAGTAAATTGACAAAAGAGAAATTAATTGGTAGAACTGTGGATTTTAACCAGTTAATAGAGTAATCTGAAATATTTGAAAAATAGTATCAGTTCTATTGAATGGGAGAGAGAGGATTGAGAATTCCGGAGAAAGAGTTAAACATCATCTGCATAAAGACTGATCTTATGTTCAATTTTCTTACTCTTTATCCCTTTAATTTCTGTTGTTTGCCTAATTGCTGCTGCTAGTGGTTTGATAAAGATAGCAAACAGTGAGGGGGAGAGTGGGCATCCCTGCCTGGTCCCCCTCTGAAGACAGAAGCTAGCTGAAATTTGGTCGTTCGTCCTGCCATGTGCAGTTGGTGAACTGTATAATGTTTGTAGCCAGTTTATGAAGAAGTTCCCAAAACCAAATTTATGTAAAGTTGCAATTAAGAACTTCCAGTTAACTCTATCAAAAGCCTTTTCTGCATCTAGAGATAATATACTAGTTTCTATGTTTCTACTGTAAGAGAAATCTATCAAATTAAGTAATCTACATGAGTTTGTGGATGACTGTCTACCCTTGATGAAACCAGTTTGGTCAGGGTGTATTATGAAGGGGGTTACCTTCTCTAATCTTTTTGCCAGGGCTTTACAAATTATTTTGAGATCAACATTAATAAGAGAAATTGGGCGATAGCTGGTAGGAAATGCAGGGTCTTTGCCTGGTTTTAACAAGAGACTAATATTGGCTGAGTTCATATTTGGCTGTAATCTGCCGCTCTGTTCGATTTCCCTCACCATTCTAAAAAATATTGGAGCCAGAATGATCCAGAATTCTTTGTAGAACTTTGCTGGAAACCCGTCTGGACCTGGAGCTTTCCTATTAGTCATGGATTTAAGGGCTTCCTGGAGCTCCGCTGATGTTAGTGGCGAGTCCAGGACTGTAACTTGGCTGTCTTATAATTTAGGAAGTGTTAACCTGTCAAGGAACTCATTGATCTTGTTATCTGATGGGTCTATCTGTGGTGAGTACAAAGTTTGGTAAAAGTCTCAGAAAGTGTTGTTTATGCTTTCAGGGTCATAAACTATATTCCCGGTTGAGTCTTTACAGCAGATACGGTCATTCTCTCTTTATTTATTTTTAATTGGCTAGCTAAAAATTTACCTGATTCAGTACTATGTTCAAAGTTTTCTATTCATGGTCTTTGTGCTAAAAATTTTGTCTTTTTCTCAATAATTCCATGAAGTTCTAATTTAGCTTTACGTACTTTGCTCAGTAACTCCTTCTGTGGATGCCTCTAAGGACTTAATGATTTCTTCTAACTCCTGAATACGTTTGTTTTCTGTTTTTTTCTTATGTGATGAGAAAGAGATTATTTTACCCTAACCCTAACCCACCATCACTGCCTTTCCTGCCTCCCAGAGAATAGATGCTGATGTTCCAGGCAGGTCATTATGTTCTAAATATAAAGCCCAGTCCTTTAAAAAAAAATCTATAAAACCTTCATCTTTAAGCAGTGATGTATTAAACCTCCAGTTTTTGCTTGGTGGGATTGTCTTCTTGTTTACCAGAGTTAAATCAGAGCATGGTTGCTGACAGCTATGGGGTGTATCTCAGTGTCTGAAATGTCAGCCAACAATGAGCTGCTAACTAGAAAATAATCCAAACGTGAATGAGAGAGATGGACGTGTGAGAAAAAAAGTGTACTCTCTACGGTTAGGATGAAGAGATCATCATGCATCACATAGCCCATAATCATTCATGAACTGTTTAACTATGTTAGTGGATTGCCAATTGCGCTGAGTCCCAGCTTTACTGAGCCTGTTTGTTAAAAAGTTCGTCCAGAAATTAAAATCGCCTCCAAGTACAAGTGGACAGTCCCAAGTGTTCAGAGAGTACAGAGAAAACCTTATGAAATGAATGAAGGGTCATCAATATGTGGACAGTATATGCTGACGATACATAAGCTTTGGTTCTGTACTGATATTTTTAACATTATAAATCAACCCTCTGGATCGGAAACTGTGTCCAATACTGTGAAATTGATGTTTTTGTGTATTAAATTAGATACACCTCTTTGCCAAGAGTTATAGCATGCAAAGAACATGCTGGGAAACTCAGGTGTTTTAAGTCCATCTGTGGATGTGGCAGATCTATAAGTCTCTTGTAATAATATTATGTCTGCTTGCACTCTCTTTAGCTGATCAAAAATCTTTAATCTTTTCTCTCTGGAGCCAGATCCATGTACGTTCCATGAGACAAACCTTAGTGCACCCATAGATGTGCGTGTGAGTAGCTAAAATATGACGCCTTCATGTAATTAATATGGAATAAGTAACTAAATGTATAAAATAGTATGGTAATAAATAA